TACAATCAAGTTTTTTTATACTAAAATCTTAGTAAATATTTAAAAATATTTAAAATTGTATATTATTTTAGTATACAAAATTATTATATTTATTTTATAGTAATAAATATATTTTTTGTTTGTTTTTAATATTAATATTTAAATATTATTGTAACCGTTGATATGCAAAATTTTTTAATTATTAATATAGGTATATGTTTATATATTTATATAAAAATTCATAATTTTTGTTATTATAAAAGCAACTAAAAACATGTAAATAAGATAATAATTTAACAACAGTTAAAAATTTATAATATAAATCTATAAATTTAACTTTTTAAATGTTGGAATATATAGATAAAAATATATATAAAAAACTTTAAAATATAAAGTAATTGAAAATTAAGATTTTAAATATTTTTTGCGTATAATATTCATGAGTTTAAATAATTTTTTATTAGTATTAATACAAATTATGTAGTACATATATTTTAAATAAAATTTAATTTTAAATAATTTTATTATAAGTATTAATAGATGAGTATAAAAGATGTGTTTTTAATATATCAATAGTAAATATTTGATAAAAAAATAAACAAACAGTACACATATAAATTATTAAAATTATTATAATTTTATTAATAATAATAATAAATATAGAAAGAAAATGTACACGAAATGTAACTGTATAAACTAAGAAGAAATGAAAATTATTTATTTAAAAATAAATAAATCAGAAGTTTAACAATAAATTTTTATTAATTATTTTATTATTTATGTTAGTAATAAAATAAATTATAATAAAAGATAACTTAATGACTTTTATTTATTTAATTATTTCATTTGTTACATGAAGTAAATAATATATAAAATATGAAGATAGGAAAATCAAAAATGCATACCCTGATGTCAACTTTTTGGAAGGGCTTTTTGAACTTAAAAATATACCCTGCTGTTTGTTTTATAAAATCTTATAAAAATAATAAAATCCAGAAATATAATATAATTACTACCTATTAGGTTTTATTAATTTAAAATTAAAATAACAAACGAACAAATAATGAATACGATTATTATATATAACAAAAAAATTTTGCCATAAAATTTATTAAATATTCATATATTAATGCCCAATGAATTTTATAGAAATTTAAAATTAATAAAAAAAAATTAATATATGTAACATAAAGTATTAATTACTTTTAAATCTTAAAATGTGGGAAAATATTATTAAAAAATTTTAATACAAAAAAACTTAGAATTTATATGTTATGAAGAAATTACTCTTAATTATATTATCAGACTCTACAATTTGCTGCTATTTACTTTTTAACTCATTTAAAACTTATGTTTATAATTACACATGTAATATATATATACATATATATTTATTATGTATTTTAATAAAACGCTATCAATTTTTTACAATTTAAATTTATAAGTTTTGAATATTCGTCGAAGAAATGTTTTTTTTTCACATATTAAAAAATATTTATATTAATTTAATATTTATATAATATTTTGTCTTTTAATAATACTATTTATACATTAAAAATGTTTTAAGTCGTGTACGAAAATTGCTTTTACTTTGTATTATAATTTGTTTTTATATAAAATTAAAATAATTTTAATATATGTTATATGTAAAAAAACATATTTATACGCAATAATTTTTTAAATGTATTTAATTTTTTTATAAAAACAAAAAACTTTAAACTAAAATTATATAAAATATAGCTACATATAAATATTTATATGTGTTTAATTAATATATAATATTAATATTTGCTATTATTTTTATTTTACTGCATATTCATATTCTTTTCGTTAAATGAATTGTTGTTAAATTGTTTTAAAAAAATAAACCTAAAATGTTATAATATTATAATTTTGATTTTTGGAAGTAAGTAATTATTGTTTATTTGCATATGTATTTTATTTATAATAAAATATATTATATTTTCTATTTTTAATCGACTAACGTATATTTTCTATAAGAATTAATTTAATATTATACTATTATAAATTTAATATACTAGTTTGTAATTTATTGTTACATTTTTTTAGTTATTTACAGACATCGAGATATAGTTTTAAATATTTATTTACAAAATTAAATATTTAATTTAAATATATATATTTTTTTATTTATAAATATATTTGACTACAAATAATTTGTATAAAAGTACAAAAAATTATTTAAATTTTCTACATACATATATATATTAAATATACAAAAAGGTACTTAAATCATTTTATATATATTTTGAATGCTTTTATTTTTTTGACTTTAAGTTAGAAAACAACACAAATAATGTTACATCTTAATATTAAAAATGGTATAACATTTAACGAAGTTAAATTAAATTTTTTAGATTTTAATATAATTTTAAAGAATTTTTAAAGGATTTTTTTTTTCTGATAAGTTTTAAATAAAACAATTAATAATATATATAACTTTGCAATGTCCATAATGATGATTTGCAAAATTATTAAGGTTAGCACATTCGATTCATTAAGTAAATATTTTATTTTAAATACTCGTACTATAACTATATAAAGGCTGTTTGTGAGTTTTTATGTAAATTAGATATATAAGCGTTTAAATTATACTTAAATATTGTAAGTTTAAATGAAGCGTCGTAGTTGAAGTTTTAATGTTATTTTAAAATCAATTTTTTTACTGTAAAAGTTTATAATTTTTGCTTATTCAACTTTATAAAAATTAAGAAATAATTACAAAATAAATATTTGAATATACAATAAAAAAATAAATTATATTCAATGTTCTTGTTAATTATGAAAAAAAAATTTAAATGTTACATACTATTAGTTAATAAATAAAAGTTGATAAATAAGCATTTATAAATTGATAAATATTTATTTGGATTAAGTGTGTAACGACTTTAAGGTGGGTAAAAATTAATTGTTGAGATTATATAAAAGGTCTTAATTAATTATTTTTTGAAAAATAAAAGAAATATAATATATAACAATAAAACACACATGTTATTAAAAACTAAATGAATAAAATAAAAAGATATAAAAAATTTTATACACAGTTATTTATAATAAATAAGACAATTATTTTCAAAAATTAAAATTAAGCTATATTAAAAAGCTTAACTATTTTTTGAGAAAAATTATTAATTTATTCTTTGAATTTTATATGTTTCGAAACCTTTCCATTAAATACTGACTGTCATACTGACGCCAAAATCAAATTTAATCATTAATATTAATTTAATAATTAATAATAATTTCATAAGTAATAATTAATAATGAAACAAATAAATTTTAAATATTTTATTATTATTTATCTAAAATACAATAAATTAAATACTAAAATAAAACAGATAAAATTTGAGTGATATTTTTGAATAAATTTAAGAGTTATAATTATAATTATTATATTTATATAATATAATATTTTCCAAAAAAAAACTGTGCTTAAATTAATGTTAAGTAGCCAAATAACTAAAAAATACAAAAATTAATTTACTTTTTCTTTTTTGGACTGCATATCGATTGTAGCAAGGGTTCTTAACTGACTCTATTTTTTTAAAAAAAATATGTCCACACAAATTATAAACAAATAAAATAATATTAGATAAAAATAAATTGATCATAAAATCAAAAAATTGAGTTTTTTTATATAAATATTTTTTTTGTGAATTCTTAATAAATTTAAATTATGAGTTCATGTATTTAAATTTTTAAGAGTGTGTGTGTCGTTGCCATATAATTATAATATACATAAATATAATATTTGTACATATAATATATTTTTTGTATATATATATATTTGAAACAAGTTTTGGATTTTTTTAAATTTGAAGTAATATAAATAAATTAGCATCCATTTAAACTCACACCAATTGATGTATGTTACAGTGTATATTAATTACTTATATATCTCGATGAGAAACTTGAGAGTTTTAAATAAATATAAACTATAGCATACTTTTATAAAAACTAATTAAGATTAAAACCATATTTTGCTACTATTAGAAATAAAAACATTTAGCATAACTATTATCTAAAAAGTTTATTTCTAAGACATTTTTGATAAACATAAGTGGGGTTCACGATCAAAAGTAATAAGCTCGATAAACTAGTAATATAGTAACACTGTAAAGAAATAACAAGAAAAGGCAATTCAAATTTATACATTTTGTTGTTGCAAATTTAAAATGTTACTACATTACATTGGTTTAATTGATTTAAAGTTTGTTACTCTAGATTGTGAACACCACTTTACTTTTCTTTGGGTGGGCACCTCGTTTAGTTAAATACCTGCTTCACGTATAGAAAACCATCTTAACACTACATTTAAGAAAAAACAATAAATATAAAACCAAATATATACATAATTAAAAAAAAAACAGAGATTTATTTTGTAAAATATAATATGCAAAGTTTTATTTATTTAAAGCTTGTATAAAAGTATAAAAATTTAAGTTTATAAAAAATAGAAAAATTTCTAAAACAGTAAAAAAGCAATAATAAAAAAGTATAATTGTATTTAACTACTACGAATTTTTTTTGTCTAAAATCTGCGTATAAAAATAAAATAAAAATATAATAACATTAACAACTACGTTCAGATCAATTAAGTAATATAAAACTATAAGAAAAAACTATATGCACAAATTTAAAAATAATAAGCATATATAAAAAACATATACATATATTTATATATGTTAAAAAATATTTAACATTTTTATTTTAATTTAACTACGATGAAAGTTAAAATTTAAGTTTCATTTTTTTTTGTTTGCTTATAATCAATTATAGTTGTAAAAAATTGTATAAAAACTTTAACATAATTTATATAGTTTTTCATGTTGTAATATAATAAATATAATATAATATTTATATTTTAAGTTAACAATTTTATTTAAAAAAATTACAACTAGTTTAAAAAAATAATGATTTTGCTAAATTTTATAATAATAAATTTAAATAAGATACTTTTTCTTTTACATACACAACGAATATATTTAAATTTTTATATAAAATTTATTTATTCCGTTTATATTTAGTTTACAAATTGAGGGATTAAAGTTAGTTAGGCTAAGTATAAGTGTTTAAAAAAAATATAATCATTTTCTTGTGATTTCATTATGCAGTTAAAAAAATATTTTGTATTTTGTTCACATTTATAAAAAGTGTACTCGCCACTAATTTAATTATAAAATTAAATTAGTTATTCTTTTGAATTTTGAAAATGGTATAAAAATGTAAGCGATAAAAAGTTTAGCATTTTAAAATCTAGTTGGCAACTAAAAGTTGTTGATAGGAGCCACCAGTTGCATTGCTATAGAATGAGTTAAGCCCTTCCATCATTGACTTGGTATTGGCGTTAGCAGCTGCGGAGCTCGTGTCTTGATTGTTGGCAGCAGCAGTTATGGCTGCGGCAACGGCATTTGCTGATGCGTTGGAATTGTTAACGACTGATGTAGGAGTCGGAGCTGATGTTGGGACAGTTGCAGTGTTATTTTGCTGAGATGTGTCTGTACTGCCAGTTGTGACTGTCACCGTAATTGCAGTAGCATTGCTTTTCATTGGAGTGTTGCTTATTACTCCCTCTAGTTTGTTGATCATTTCGTTTGAGTTACTGCCATTGATGAGTACCTTGTTTTGGCCATTATGTTGATTGGTTATCACTTGTGATTGTTGGGTTACTTGTGATATATGTTGAGGTTGAATATGGTTACCACTTAAACCATTCAAACCGTAAAAGCCATGAGGATCCAGGTAAGTATTGAATTTACTTTGATTTGTTGCATTATACAAGTTATTTGCTTCGGGATGAAAGTGTGCCGCTTCAAAAATATTACGTGGAGCATTAAACTGTGGATACATACCAACCATGCTGGGGAAATAGAAAGGATTCTCATTCTGAGCCAGACCAAGTGACAGTGGATTCGGTGAAAGCGAGCGTGCCGGTGATACGTGGCCAATAGCGCCAAAGTGATTAGTAGGATGTGGTGGGGCTGTTGCTGGACCATGTCCGTGATGCAGCTGTTGTTGCATGGCACGTTGTTTGATATAATTGGAAAATTCAGTTGGTGACATACGATAAGAGCTACTGGAAAAAGATATAGTATTGTTAATAAATAATTAAAATAATTCTGTAGGTAATTACATTCTCTGTGTTTAAAGAAAACTATACAGGAAGGGCTATGTACTAATAAAGATTAAGTTTTCTACTAGATTGAGATTTTTACTATTAAATTATTTTTTGAAGAAAGCAATCAACACTACAATAAGTTCGGTGAATACCCCTTATAAAAAAAGTAATCACCTACTAATTTTATCTTATTAAACAATAAAATTTATGTTTATGGTAAATAGAAATATACATTTATAAGATTCAATAACTACACATAATTGCATTTATATTCTTGACATTACTATATTCTATATTTCATAAGTAAAGGTATATACTTCTTAATTATATAAAGAAATTTAACTAACCTGTTGGAACGTTTTGAGCTCGTCTTCAATTTGGTACTTCCAAACTTAGTTTGTGCAAATGTGGCCGTAGTAAAAGTCAACGGCGCTTGGCTACGTTGTATAAATGAACCATTGGAGGCTGCTAAGGGATTTGGGCTGCCCTTGTATGTTGGTGAAGTTGACGAAGCCGAGTGTGGTGAAGAGCCTGACTGTGGAGAAGTTTTAGGACTTAAGTTTAAGCTATTCAAACTAGTGTTAATAGCATCAATTGGCCGGAAACATTGTGCTTCCGGATTAAAGGTTTTATTAACTTCACGGTCGGCTGATGAGTTATCCTCGTGATTGTCGTTGTTTTCAGAAAATAGTATCTTAAAAATATTATAAATTATTTATTATTCATATAATTAATATATAAAGATAAAATGAAATACCTTCACAGCTCCTTTTTCGCCGATACGATAAGAAACCTCACCAGGATCAACCCAAACTGATAGTTCATTAGGAAGATTTTCAAGTATGTCTGTTATGGGTACACCACTTTCACGTGCAGCACGTTCTAAAACTGGATCAATTGGATCGCCTGTCTTAAGACAACGAAATGCAGAACCCTAAAACCAAAGATAAAAAAATAGTGATAAAATTTTATCAATTTCAGTTTACCATATATAAATAATTACCTTGTAAGGTTTTTCAGGATACCAGTGTCCCTGAAATTTGTCCTTCAAAGCCTTTTCTAGCTCTTCGCCAAAGATATTGACACGACGCCTTGGCAGTTTATTATATAAATACGAAATAACGAAGTTCAAAGCAACTTGGATTTCCATATGCATTTTGCCGTTTAAAAGATGCTCTATGAATTTGGTTACTTTTAGCAATCAATTAGGTTTTGATAGAGTTTATCGCGTTTAAAATGCTTTAAAAAATACAAGCTAGATTTTTTGAAGTATATTTTTTGTTTTGAAAAAATATTTGAAATGATATATGTTCGAATTTGATAAGTAAAATAAAAAGTGTTTGCCTCCTTAGATTCGTTTAAAGTTTTGAGATTTTTTTTATAAGCGTAGTATGTAGTGTAATTGTTGCTGTGGTGACTGACGATTCTCCAATTCAAGATTTGTTATTAAATTTTTGTTTCATTTTTGGCAACACAAATCCCTATCGTCTGATCGATGTTCAGAATTGTCTTTTTTATGCTGATTTCCTGTAATTAAAAGATAAGAATAAATATTGATTTTGATTACAAAAAAAAAGAATTTTTGCATATGTATAATATATACTATTAACAAATTAAGTATATCTCAAGTTGAGGCCAATAATAAACTACAGAAGTTTCCGTATGCGTTAGCGTGCATTACAGTAAACTTTTTGCTCTAAACTTACTCTAAGTGCAATAATAGGCTTCGATTGTACAACCGTATTTTTCCAATATCTTGAAATTTAACTTTGAAAATGTGAAAAGAAAAATATGATCTAACCAAATACATGTTAACTCATATGGTAAAGAAGATATAAAAACCAACATGTGGTATGTTGATGCGTCAAGTAATAATATTTTGATATGAGATTTAGTTAAAAGCTGGTTAAATCAACAAAATTTTTCTTCTGAGTGTACATAAGCTAAATATCACCAGCACTGTTGAATGCTGGAAATGTAACATAAGGGACTGTGTATTCAGAAAACCCAGAAGCATCTTTTCTGTTTCTCTGTTCCTGTCTGGATATCTCAAAATTAAGGTCTAAACTGTGTCTCTGAAGTTGAATAAACTATCTCTTAAAACTCGCTAAAGCACATAAATTTACTGAACTGCTTCTATGGTGTTGGAGTAAGTTATATTTCAAAATTCTCGTATAACACATAATGTGTACCAACATAAGCAGCCTTTATGGACTCTAAACTGGTATCGCTACGAACTTATCAATTATTTGCGTAGTCTCGATAAGCTAACACTACCTGAAGACTACCTGAATGGGTAGATAACGACAAAATATTCATTGGAACGTCTTTTAATGGACCCAAACCTAATGAAGCCCTTAGATTTAAGTATAGCGACAAACGGGGGAGTGACAAAATACTAAATTTTTATTTTATATTTCTTTTGTCGAATTAAAATAAACTCAACAGTAACAATATTTATATGCGTAAAATTGATCTAGAGCCATTTGCGGATATTGGAACATTTATATGCATTCAGCTGCGACATGCATTCAGTTAGTTTTAGCAAACGTAAATATAACACCGACATAAATATTCATCTCGATGAGATATTTTTTATTTGTGAGTGTTATTTATTTATTTAAAATTTTAGCTTATATATTTCAGAGTGTTAACTACATCACCATTAATTAATTATACAATGTACACTCGTATATGTTGTGTACATTCCTGATAAAATTTGGCTACTGATGTTTATTTAAAATGACTAAGCCATACTCGTATCTGTGTTAATTTTATACGAGACACATTTTTGGCACTAAACTTTAAAAAAATAAAAAACAAAAGAATTTTTTTAAAAAAAAAACAAGAATATCAGGAAATATGCAATTGCACTGCTCATGTAAAATAGAGCACTTAAACATGTGCCAATATTGGCGCGCGCTCTGCAAACAATGTCATAAATAATGAGCCACAATGGTAACAATCACATGGCGTTTACGTTGCGAATAGTCGACGTAGCTATCAAGTTCAGTGCCAGCGGATATGTTGGATCCCATAAAGCATACTTCACAAATAACAACCCATTGGTGGTATACCTAAAGTGGTAGTGCATTTTCTATCTTTACCCTTTCAATAACCTTGAGTAGTCGCGTGAGCCAATTAAAAAATACAACAAAAGGCACTTTTTTGCTTACCATGAATAAAATGCACAGATAAAATTAATAAGATTAAAAAATAAAAAAATTCAACATAAAAGTAAACGAAAAAACCATAAAAGTGACATTTTTTTAATGAATTTAATAAAGCCTTGTTTCTCTTCTTCTTAATTAATACTGCAATTTTTTCAGTGTAAACAGTTGAGGTGGAGAATGTGCAGCGGAAGGTTTCAATGTTAGTAAATTAAATTAAAAATTTTGTTGTAGTTGTTTTTTTTTTGTTTTAAAAATACACTGTAAAATTTTATCATTGAAAATGTTTATATGGAGGTTCGTTACAAAAACTTACTATATTAATTGTTGATGTACTTTACAGTTTACTTTACAGTAATGTAGATATAGTTTACTTTATTATTGGTAAATCGGGTGGAAGTACGCAATTTGTAATTTTTTCCATTATTCTATATGCTTACGCAACTTTCTTACATAGAAAGTTGTAAATATTTTACATAGATAACACTAACGAAAACAGTTTTCAAGTTGAAACAGATCCTTGAAAGGTATGAGCTCCTACAGTTACTTGTAGATCGGAATAAGGTAAGCCTTTACTGGGTTCTGGGTTACAGTGGAGTTTTGGGAAATGAACAAGCTGATGAGCAAGCCAGAACTGCATGCTTTCAAACGCCCTCAACCCTTTTGTGGATTAAACTGGGACAGTACAAAACAAATTACTAGGGAGAGGGAAAATCATATGCTGTTGGAGTATTGGAAAGACTTCCCAGGACTTAGACAAAGCAAAGTACTGATAAAATCATACTCCAACAAAAAAAATTCTTAAATTCTCAAAATGTGATTTAAGGTTGATAACGGGTTTCATTATAGATCATTATGGCTTGAAATATCACCTTCATAAACTACGTTTATCTGCTTATTCGAAATGCAGATTATGCCTCGAAGATGAGGAAACTACTATGCATATTCTTTGTGACTTTTCAGCTTTAATAACGCACAGATGAAAATTGTTTCATGTGGAATTTGTGTCACCAGAACAGATTAAGAGCTCTTCTTTAGATTTAGTTTTGGAGTTTGTTCACAAAGTTATTGCAAAAAATTCTAACTAATCTTCAATATTATTATTTTTATGTTTCAATGAAATACAATAAAATAAAAACAAATTTCTTAATATCAATTAATTGCAATAATATTGTATAATAAAATGACAGCAAAATTTTAATTTATTTAAGGGCTATAATCGAGTAAACTAAGGTTTAGATATCAATTTCGTGGTTATTGTTGTTATAATAATCACACGAATATTTACTTTGAGAAAGAAAAAATAAAAATCATTTTTCAATAATTCAGTTAAAATGGATTATTAGAAGAGACAATGATTATTAGATTATTCGCGTTAGTACATTGTTATTCGAATAATTGATTGTTAACATCTATTGTACTAAGTTTAATAATTGTCAGTTACTTTCCTATATATTACCAACCATTTAAATGAATTTTGAATATAGAAACTAATTCTTATGATACAGAAGACAACATTGTTGTTATTGCAATATTGTTTTTTTTTCGCACAGTTTTTGGATTTGCATTTCTGTACTTGTTTCTTGCGCTTTGTAACTCAATTGGTCTTCAACTCAATAAGCATGTTAACATAACGCATAGAAAAAAAATATAAAGAATGCATAATGATGAAGAAAAATGATAAAGGAGAATATAGAAATACAATATCATTAAACATTTCTATAGAAAACATGAAAATCTTTAAATTTCGTCAGTTTATTGATAGTATTTGTTATTTGTTAATTAGAAAATAGAATTTGTATTAAGGGACACAGATTACTATTGAGACAGAAGCACTGCAGTGTTGATAGATTTTTTAAATTGAGCACATTAAGTGGCTTTTAGCTTAATTTAGATTATTTATTTATATTGCATATATATTAGCTATTCTATATGAAAGGAAATACTAGATCTGAAATCGATAAACATCAAAGAAACTTTAGATAATAAAAATATATTGCATTACTCAAAGTTTTTAAGTAATTTCTTAAATTTAAATAATTCAATATATTAAAATATTTCATATTGTTATATATTTGTATTCAATTTCATTCTGAAGTAGCAGCTGTGAGTAATACTACTTCTAACAAGCATTTCAACAACACAAAATTGATAACTGTCAAAATTTATATCTCAATATATTGAAGTATAAATACCAAAATCAATCATAAATACGACTTAAGACATCTGCAAAATGTACTTGCAGAAATCGAAATTTTTTATTTAATAGTAATACATAACAAAGCTAAAGATAAGTATCATATATACATATTTATATATAAATACAGTAATGTATTAATATACTAGTAAATCATATGAAAAATATAAGAAATAATATAAAACTTTTCTTAATATTCGTCACTATTGACAACTATATTTGCTGTGTATTTCACATGAATAAAATTAATATCTATCTATTACAATATTTTTTAAAGTGTACAAATACTTCCACTTTTGTTAAGCCACTTAATTTTTCAATACATTTACTACTGTTTTATTTGAAAGAATTTAATCAAATCAACTTCTTTGGCGTACCCTTAAATTGCCGCTTCTATTTCCTATTTAGATTTTCATAGGCAGATAAAGTGTCATAAATTTTTGTGGTTATTGTTGTTGTTGGAAACAGTTACGAGTTTTTGTAACGCATCACCAGCCCAAGATACTTTGGGCTCTTGTATGCCTGACAACTGTCGAACTAATTCAATGGCATGGAAAACAGAATTACCTACATAATCTCGCACAATTGTTACTTTATAATGAGCGTGTTGGGGTTGTTATAGATTGCAAAGGAGAAAGTCTGGGGAATAATTTTAAAGATATCATGCACATAGTTTTTTTTTCATTAATAGTATTTATCAGCAGTTGGTGGTAAAGTAATATAAGACTGATATTATGATAAACTATAACAAAATAACAGATTTCTTAAAGAGCATATGCTATTTAAATATTTTCTAATAATAATAATTCAGATACTTAATATATCAAGTCTACTTATAAACAATGCTAATGCTTTATGCGTCCACTGATATGTCGCTTGAATCTATCCGTAATCATTATGGATATATTGGTTTTTTCGCTAATATAATTTTTTTGTACATAATTGTTTTTTTACAAAACTTCTTTAAAAACAAGACACTAGCCGTCAACTAGTATGACACTCTTCTTTGTATTGCAGTTCCCGAAGCACCACTGATTTCTCTATAATTTTTTTCCATCTTAAAGTATATTTTATATAGTATCAGTGGTTGGTTATTCTCATATCATCTGTGTACCATGTCCGTGGTTATCTTTATTTTTTAATTCTTTGAGGTTTGTCAT